TGGGAGTTGAAGTCCACTCATCTTAAAGTGGCCAAGTTTGGACAACACTGATTTAAGTCATATGATGTCATTGTGTCATGGGCTGGATGTCTCTGATTTTTCAGGCTTCTAACCCTCTCCAGGACTCTGAGGGCTGTCTTCATTTCTGCTTTTAATTTAGATACGAAACAAACATTCTCATCCAACAACCCTGCTCTGCCCAACTTGGTGCCCTCCAGAGGTAGATTTCAACCTACTTCATTCTCTGGGAATGATAATCCAGAATATCTGGATAGCATCAGATTGGGGAAAGCTGATATATTGGAACTCACCAGGCCTTCCTAAATCACTGCGTTTTGCTCTTCTTCCTGTTCTTCCTCAACAGATCTAGCAAGCTTTTTTGTCTTGGTTGGCCATAAATACATGTTCAGAAGGACCTGTAGGCCTAATCTGCACTTAAACCTTTCCTAACCTTGTAGTACTTCTGGATGTCTTGGGTCCTCAACTCCCAGAATGGCACATCGTTGGCAAACTCCTCCAGACCATAAGTGGCATCTTGGAGGAAGATGAGCTGTCCCACTGTCAAATGATATCACAGCCAGAAGTGGGCAGTTGTGATAAACAGCCATTTATCCTATCCTTGCTGATCGTTATGAACTCCTATTTTGAGAGAGAGAAAAAGAAACCGAGGTCCAAAGAAGGAAATAGAGTTTTTGTCAATTTCACCCAGCTCCCCTGCCTGAGCCTCTGTGTACCACAGAAAAGTTGCAAGGATCTATAGGCATTTAAGATAGCCTACCTCAGTCACAGTAGAAGAATCAGCCGAAGAATCAGATGAATCTGGCTTTCTGGAATCAAGTTACCCACGTTCATCAGCCAGGCTGGCTGGGAATTTTGGGCAATATTGTTGTGGGGGAGGGTCATCAGGTTGAGGAAGGTCCCCAACATCCTCTCTGGGCTGAACTGTCATATGGATTAAAACAAGATGGCCTCTAAGGGGTGTTTCATGATGTGTGAGAATACCCTTGTCGTTTTGTTTACTCTAGAGCAGTGTTTCTCAACCTGCTCTAGAGTAAGCATGATCTCATCAGGGCTAAGATCGGAAAGGGTGCAAAGCACTGCTTAATCCTTTAAATGCCTGCAAGATGCCTAGAGCCACAAAAGCCGTGGGTGGCTACTCCAGGTGCTTCTTTTGAAAAATTGCCCCTGTATTTGTTGATTTAAAAAAAAAAAAATCCATTGTTGACATATAGAGGAGAATAAAGATTTTGAAACCAAGGGGCTGAGGGAAAAGATGACATTTTCTCTTCCCATGCATAACGGTTTCACTCATATACCCCTGCATTTCCCCATGTAGCCTTTGCACAGTTCCAAATACCGCTCTGTTCCCCACATCATCGTTTCTTATTCGGGTGCTGTTCCAGGTTAATTCCAGCTCAGTTGCAGGCCAGCCAAAAATGCTGTGAATCCAGTTTTCCTTTCCCCAAAGATGTTAGCACAAGTGGTGTATAACTGAGATCTGGAAGCGACAAGAATTATTTACTACTGAAAATTACTTCAGGGGAATGTCTGGTGGGCTGAGAAAGTCCTTTTAGTCAGAGGAAAATTTGCTACATACAGAACAATTTCTCTTGAAACATTTATTCTGGGAAGGCCCTCATCTAGATTCCCACGCATTTTTCTATTGTGTTTGGGCAAATTACCAAGGAATCCTGCATTGGCAATGAAGGGTTGAAGCTACATTCTTCTGTCAGAGAAACAAAGAAAGATTTGTCTGCTTAGTGGTTCATGGTGTTAGAAGAACTGTAGCCAAAACAAAGCAATTGCTACAGATCCCAGGTGGAGCTGTCGAAGCAAGTAACAGCAAGCTAAATAGTGCAAAATAATTAACACTGCCCCTTTTAAATATGGAGCAATCATGACTGGATCAGTTGGGTTATTGGCCAAAATGTTCTCAGGATATTTTTTCATCAATAAATATGCCTCAGTTCTTCATTTACAATAGGGATGTAATATGTTTATAGACTCAAAGAATAATTCTTTATACCTGGTTTATGAACCTGGCAGAGAAGTGAAATATAGGGACTTTGTGAAAGTTTGTACAGTGGGTCCATGTTTTGGAAGGAAGATTACTTAAAGCTCACTTAAGAAAGACCCCTTCTTCCCCCTAATCTCCATAAAAGCAAAAGTCCTGCCACTCTTTTGTGGCATTTTGAGCTCTTCGACCAAGGACTTCTTCCTTTGGCTCAGCAGTAGGATAGTAGGAAGGAAGGTGTTCCAGATTTCCCTGCAGCAAGGAGCTAGAAATATAGAAGTTAAAAAACATTGTGAATTTCTTGGGAACACAAGATTGGTGGAGGAGCCCTGCATATGGGCAGGTTTTTACAAAGCATTTCCTCTTAAAAACTAACAAAGATAACTCTAGATATAAAAAGGAGTTTCTATGGGGAAAGAAAGAAATAAGGAGAGTGATAAATGCACACAAAGCCAGTCTAAGTCAGTAGTTATGACCTGCTTGGATAGGATCTCGGTTTCAGAACATGCGCAGAACTTACGGTTTGAGAGAGACAGTTGGGTCTCCTGCTTGGATGCTGTTAAGCATGGACATTCTTGAATAGCCCTTTGAAAACTACACAGAGGGGTGTCTGCAGGGTGTGGTCCACAAAGTCAAGATGGCAGACACAATGGTGCAATTGAAGCTTCACCCATTTTTACATGTGATTGAAAAAGTCCCTTTTTGGATCACGCCCTGCAGGCACCCCTGACCATATTGCAATATATCCAAGCTAGGAATGTAAAGTTGATTAATTAATCATTTGGATTATTTTAAAATATGGCCCCGGTTAGCCAGACAGTGTATTAATATATTTTAAATATAAGTGTTTTAAAAGTCTGCAAATGGCTAGTGCTTTATCTGAGAGATTCTAAGCAACTCACTCCATGTAAAATAAAGGTTAATGTTTTTTATCTTCAGGGGTGTAGTTAGATTTATATGAAAATAGAGAGTTGAGAAATCAATTTACTGAAGCTTTTTGTTTGCAAAAAAAAAAATGATACCAGAAAGCTGGAAGCATATATAATATCTGGTAGCACCTTTTGCAACTAATAAATTCTGAAGTCAGAAGCTTTTGTGAACTATAGCTCATTTCATCAGATGCGTGGAGTGGAGTACCTCATCAATTAGCACCTATCATCTGTTAAAAATCCATGGTGGTTGTTAAGTCTTCTAAGATAGCCTGAAACCTTTTGATGTATGTGAGTTTGGCAGGGTGTCACTCTATAATGCTGGCATAGTTTCCTTGTTTTAAAATGGCAACTCCAAAATCTGTAATTGAATGTCCTGGGAAATTAAAATGCTCTGATATTACTTTGTCCTTATTCTGAGTCTTGATATAAAACTTGTGTTCATTCTTTTGCACATGGTTTGTCCAATGTAGAATCCAGAGGGCAATTGCTGGCAGATGGTGCTATGCATCACGCTGGAGAAAGAACACGTGAAGGCACCTCTCATTCTGGGATGGTGCTGTTGTTGTAAATGTGAGAGCAAAGTAGACATCTGGGTTTGCTGCAGGTCTGGTTCCCACATTAGCAGCATTGCTCTGTTGTTTCTGGTGCTTGTGAGAATGTGTTTCAGGTGGGGTAGTTGAGTCTATCACTTGGTGCCTGAGAAAGTAGAGTGTTCTTGTCCAGAATGGGTTGGTAGTTTCTTAATAAGGTTGAGTGGCTGTGAGTGGTGAGAGAGGCAGGGGACCACCAGTGATGTTCTGTTTCTGTAGTTTATCTTTAAATAGGTCCTCCCTAAGAACCAATCTGGCTCTATTGATTTGTCTTGTTGGGTGTGTTAAGAAGAATTTACACATCCTCCTGTATTTTTTTTTTTAAGTTTTACTGACAAGACTCCCATTTTGAGGACAGTTGAGAAATTTAAATTGCATGTCCCAATACCTAATTTCCACCGGGGGGGGGGGAGGGATGGT